ACAGGGCTGGTGTGGGTGTTTGGGGTGGGTCATTGAGTCAACCATACCGGCTACATCCTTATTACACTCCAGCTAGGCTATTGTTGCCAGTTAGAACTTGAACTTTAATGTTCTTCAAAGGGATTCTCCTTATGTAGCTCATGAATGTTTACACTTTTAAAGGAGAGTGTTGCAGACAGGATTATGAGGATTATGATAGGGAATATTAAGGCTCATTTGCTGAGAGTGAGGCTGCTGAGGGTTGCCAAGTGAGCCCCTCACGCTTATGAGGCGGGCACTTCCTCTGACACTTGCGGTTATACTGTGCTCTGGAGAGGAAGGAATCTTTATTTAGGATGGGTTTAGAAGAGTGATTAATTTTAGGAAGTGATGAGAGTGTCTCTCAAAATTGTTTATCTTGTTGCCTTAATTGTGAGGAATTGAATTTTGATGATGTATACTTGATGTGGTATGAATTTGCAAATGATAGACAAAAGTGCTCATATTTTTTTAATGAAATAAGGGATTAAAGTCATGTGGAACTAAATACAAAGGTAGGAAGTTGAATCCCTTTTCCTTTTAAGATAGATTTATGACATTGTACCGTAATTTGTTCATTATTATTATTATTATTATTTTTAATGATCATATTTTCTTCTTGTGCTTCCAGGTAGCATGTGTATTTTGGGTCAGGGCTATGAGATTCATTTCTCGCTCCTAGAGTAAATGAGGCATATGCCACCACGGCTTGGAAGTGGGGGCCAAACAGTGAGAGTTTGGCCACACAAGACTTTTCTTCATAGTCATAGCAGGTATGTGGTTTTGTTCTTGTATCCATGCTATGTAAATTTTCAAGTGTATTTTGGAAAGGTGGTAGATGGCAGGATAGCAAATTGTAGGGTATGATATTTTTTAGTGTTTTTGGTTGTCATTACTCTGTGTTTTGATTCTGCTATGGTTGATGTAAATTAAAAAGTTTGTTTTGTTTGAGAGTAATATTTGAAGATGCCTTCTGAAATGATAAATATATATGAATATGAATTGAATATATTGTATATATGGTATATATATTGTATATATGTTATATATATTGTATATATGTTATATATATTGTATATATGTTACATATATAGGATATATATTATGTATATGATATATTTGTTTTATATGTTGTACATGTATATTACATATAGTAATATTTTATAGGATATAGACATTATAAATGTATATTATAGATATATATTATAGATCTATTACATAAATATACATACACATAATATATGTACATGCACATGTATACATGCACATACACATGCAAATGCACATACATATACACATGCACGTGCATATACACATGCACATGCATATACACATGCATACATACACATGCACATGCATATACATGCACATGCACATGCATACGCATGCACATGCATATACGCATGCACATGCATATACGCATGCATATACATGCACATGGCATGCATATACGCATGCACTGCATATATACATGCACATGCATATATGCAATACACATGCACATGCACATGCACATGCACATGCACATGCACATGCACATGCACATGCAGATGCACATACATACATACTTATGTACATGCATATATACATGCATATAAACATGCATATAAACATGCATATAAACATGCATATAAACATGCATATATACATGCATATATACATGCATATATACATGCATATATACATGTGTATATATATGCATATATATATATATATATATATATATATATATATATATATATATATATATATGAATAAATAAATATATACATGCATATATATGTACATTCATATATATGTACATACATATATACATACATAGATATATATGCACACACATATATACGCACATACATATATACGCACATACATATATACGCACATACATATATACGCACATACATTTATACGCACATACATATATATGCACATGCATATATACGCACATACATGTATACACACATACATATATACGCACATACATATATATATACGCACATACATATATATACATACGTACATAGGTACATATATGCATAGGTACATGCCATACATAGGTACATACATACATACATACACACATACGTACATGCCTATTATACATAAATCATTTTTTTTTACAGATACTAGTCCATTGTAAATGCTGATTATTTTTGCATCATTGTTGAAAAAATATATTTGATTACATGGGCATTTGTATACTTAGCAAAATTAACATTCATATTAATAAAATTAGTTTTGAATATTTTATATTGTGATTTATCTGATGCCATGTGTGCATGCGTACCTGTGCAGTCCATTTTGGTTTATTTTTTATTGATTTTGTTTATGCGTTGATGGCAGTTGTTATCAATTACTATCCAGCCCTTTGATTTTTTTTTTTTTTTTTTTTTTTTTTAATTTCTTTGGTTATTGGTGAGTGCGTTGTAATGATGATTATAATGATGTTAATGATAACAATAGTAAAGGTGATAATAGTAACAACAATAGTAATGATAATGATGATGATTATGATGAGGATTATGATAATGATGATCATTCTAATGATGATTATGAAGATAATAAAACTTATAATAATAAGAGTGATGATGATAGTAACAATAGAATAATAGTGATGATGATTATGATAATAGTAATGATGATATTGATAATGATAAGGATAATGGTGATAATAATGATGATGATAATAATAATAATGATAATAATGATAATAATGAAATAATGATATGATAATAATAGTGATGATAGTAATGATAATAATATAATGAAAGTAATAATGAAAGTAATGATAATGATAATAGTAATAATGAAAGTAATGATAATGATAATAGTAATAATGAAAGTAATGATAATGATAATAGTAATAATTGTGATAGTAACAATAGTAATAATAATGATGATAATGATGATAATAATGATAGTAATAATAGTAATAATGATAATAGTAATAAAAACTCAAATTACATGGCCCAGGTTGCAGTCAACAGTGGAGGGGTGCAAATGAGCACCAGAAAATGATGGTATTCTACTTAGCAAGGACCATAGTTCCACTCCATTCCCATTCTACTTTCTGATAAGATTTAATGCTCTTCCATGCTTCATTTTGTCATCATCTTTTTACAATTGATAACAATGAACCTATATGATATTGTTTTTAATGTGTATCTTGTGATTAACTTTGTTGCCGTCTCAGTGGTGTGAGATTTGAAGTGCAAATTTATAACCAAGGTAAAAGTTGGATAATGAAAGAGTGTATTTATAAATATTCAGATAACAAGGGTCACTAAATAAATGAAACTTTTCTTCTTTCAGGGGTGTAAAAGTATAGGCCAAGATGCCACTCTTAAAGCGTGTGGTGTCACCCGTGCATGTGTCACGGGTGCCATTGGTGGAGGAGTGGGTGACGGATGACAATGGCAGAGTCTATGCAGCTCTCCTGCCAGCCACAAATCAACCGCAGGACCTAGAGTCCTTTACCAACCTCACCCTTGCCAACCTCATCACCCAGGTATGAGTCTGTTTATGCATTTCACAATTTTAGTTGGTATATTGTGCATTTTAATATTATCATTATTGATTTTGAAAGACAATTCTTGTTATTGTTTTTTTTTCTAATATACCTGTATCTGATAATTTGTGCCTCTTTTTAGAATTATGTTGCTGTCTAAAAATGATTTATATGAAAGGATATCCTGTATAGTTTTAAAACCTTATTTGTCATTTTAGCTAACTACTCATTGGTCATATTTTCAGATCATATTGATAGTATTTATTAGGACTTTTTTATTAAAATGTTCCCTTCATTATTATCAATAATGCTATCAACAGATTAATTGATTGATTATTTTTCTTTTCTCTCAGTTATCATCACTTTCCCGGCATGCAGAAGACTTGTTTGGAGAAATGATAACAGAATCCACCTCCATCTTGAATCGAACAGTATCTTTACAAGGCAGGGTTGATAAGCTCTCAGTCAAAGTTAAGAATTTGGATAGCAATGTAGAAGAAGGTAAGAATCTTAATATTGGATATGTCTGTCTCCCCCTTAGGTATAAGTAATATGTCTTGAAAATCCAGTAAGTTGAAAGTACTAGTCTGTTGGGGGGTCTGTTACATAGGGATAGGGATATTGACAGATTTGAAAAATTAAGCTGTAAAATAATGTAAATCAGAATGTAATAACAATTGGTTCTTTGATGAATACTAGACTGAATCACTAAGCATACCAGAATGGTGCTACTGATCATGTAACACATAATGAAGGATAATTTTCACACAAAGTGAATGCAATTCGGTTAATCATTTCCCCACGTTTTCTCCCAAAGTTTGTAAAAATATGTATGTGCAGTATAAGTAGGAGCTTGATTACAGGTAAAATTATATGTGCACTTCTTTGATCTGTTAACCTGTTAATGCTGAGAAGGCAATATACGTCTTGCTGACTGTGATGTTAGCTTAATTTTGTTTATACACACATGGATCCACAGTTTCATGGTCACCACAGAATCAATTACTGAAATCACCTGTTTGCCCTTTTTCTTGAAATTTTAGAAAGAAAATTTCTTTTTATTATTATTTATTACTATTAGTATTGTATATTGTAATGCTAATGCCATTTATAATGATAATAACATTCATAAAGATGGTGGTACTAGAAAGAAAGATTTTTTTCAAGAAAATTTAAGGAATAGGGTAAACAGGTGAGGTCAAGTAAGCAAAGCAGTTGACTTATTGGTGACTAAGTGTTTGTGAAAACATTAGTATGAATAGAATTGACAAAATGATACTTCACTGGACAGAGCATGTACCCAGTGCCAGTGAGTAAATTTTGGTTACAGCCATTTGAAGAGCTTAATTTTATGCACCTGAAAGTATGTCTTTCCTTGTTATATCTCAAATACTGGTGTCAATAGAAAACAAAGTTCTAAAGAATATCAGTTACCCATTGAGTTAAGAGTGAAAATAGAATATGTAGATGAGTCACATGTGAAATCACTTTTTAATCATATAATACAATAAAAATCAGTTTTTAGATGTATCTGTATTTATAATGAGTAAAAAGAACAATGGTATACCGAGAGGTTACTTGACTGTGATATGGTCAAGATTATGGTCTTATATTTTCAGTGTTAACATTGGTTTTCTTCATTTCAGTATCATTGCAAGACATCCACATGCGTAAGGCTTTCAAGTCTTCAGCGCTGTTTGATCAGCAAGTGGTTTCAAGAGACACCATCCCGGCTGCCATGTTGGAGACATACGAGACGTGCGAACAACCTCCGCCTCTCCACCAGCTGAACCCCTACAGGTAAGGATCAGTTGGGGTTTTGTGTTTCTGTGTATTTAATAATACTCATCATAAAATGATTAAATGTCATATAGATGTTTACTTGAATTATGTCCTTGTGGAAAAGATCTGAGTATGGTATTTGTTATACCAACTGTTATGTTCTATTGGTCCGTATAAAGGGGACTGTCCCATTTCAGGGGGGTTTTTGGTTGAGTTTGAGTTGTGTGTAATTTCATATACACGTGGAAAAACTGATCTATGAATATTATTTCTCAGTTCTGTTTCCTTCTTGCATTACAAGTATTCTGCCAATTGTGGTTGTTTCACAGATGAATATGTTTGTTGTTGGAGTTTCTAAGGTTATTAGTATTACAGAAGCAATATCTATTAGCTAGAATATGACCAAAGTATGTTTTAATGTCTGATGTGAACAAATCCATACAATTGCTATGATACATGATAGAAAGACTGAAAAAAATTAAAAAGTCATGTGAAAGTTGGCATATTTCATTTCTGCAACTTTCAAGTAAGAGTTGACTAAAGTCAAGATGATTTCACACTAGCAGATGCAAGTGATAACAAGGGGGTAAGTGCCACCCAGGGGAAGCATCGAAAAGCCATGGTTGGCCCTCTCAGCTATAACATGTGAAAAGGTTGATGTATGTAGGTCTTCCGCTGTCGAGAGGTCTAAAGCGTTTGTTTATGTTGAGCAGTAATGGGAATAACCATTTAGTAACAGCCATAGCACATGTACTACGTAGATGAGCCTTTAACTTTAGTTTGTTTGAGCACTAATGTGCTATATTAGTGCTACTTGTTTTTTTGACAGGACAGTAAAGTAATGCAGTTTTCAGTGAACATAGGGTTAGGGCAGTTTGTTATGATGCTGTAAATTGTGTAACTGTAGATTTATAAAAAAAATGTATTGGTTGAGAGACCAAACAAAACTAGTTTGATGAGTCAGGATCAAAGAGGGAGTGTAAATGTGCAGTCTTGCATGCTTGTTAGGATATGTTTGTTTATGTAATCATGCTTACATACATACTTGTATGTATGTGTGCATGTATTTATGAGTATATTTATGCAGATGTGTGTATGTGTATACAGATATATATATGTACATGTACATATATATGTAAGTACATACATACATGTATGGATGCATGTATGTATGTATGTATTTATTTATTCATTTATGTACCTATGCACTTATGTGTATGGATTGTGATATACTTTGATAAATAAATGTCATGTATTGACTTTAAGCCTGGGAAAATAAAAAATTACAATTTTTAAAAGAATTGCATCTTCTAGGTCAAGGTTTTTGATCACAGGGGCAATGTCACCAGAAATAACATCCATATCAGACTATGATGTTCCCAGATCTACTACAATTTTTTCCTAATTTTTTGTTCTTGGAGGGGGATGCTAAAAAAAATGCACTTCTACAACAAGCAAAAGAAATTGTGGTTATCTTTTTATAAGCGTTTAACCTGATAATTGTACGCATTTCATGGGACAGTCCCCTGTAAAACAAAGAAATCAAATCACTTGTTTTATTCCATTCTTACTTTATTAAACACATGATTTTTGTTAATGGCTGAATTTTGTATCCTCTTTCTGGTTAATAGTAATGAGTAATGAGTTGATTATTGTTTACTAGGGATGACGGGAAGGATGGACTGAAGTTCTACACGGATCCATCCTACTTCTTCAACCTATGGCGTGAGGAGATGACCCAGGAGACCGAGCGGCTGAAGCTGGACAAGAAGCAGAAGGTAATTTTGAAATGTGGCCCAGTAGGCTCTCTGCTCAAAGAAGAGAAGAGGTCTGCCCTTTGGTTCACGTTCACATGTGGTCTTCGAGTTCATTGTTGTTTCTTGAACTTTGGGTTTGGGGAAGAGTCTGTTAATTTTTTATTTTTATTTTTTTCTTTATTATTATTAAGCAAAGTTATCTCCCTCATCAGTTACCATGATAATGATGAGAAGGATAGTGATGATAAAAATTATATTCAAGATGGTTCCACTAACATTGAAGGAAATAATGATACTATGTTATTATGTTAAGACAGTATTTTAAGACAGTTAAGTTAGTTATGCTGCCAATTGCATTTATCTGTCTTGAAGCTGTTTGGGAAACTGTTGAGTAAAACAGGAAATCATATACTTATTTTTACACTTTTACTTCTCAACCAGTGCCAGACACATAATCTATCCAAATTTGTTTTGTTTTATTAATTTTGTTAGACATAGATGGCATCACAAGCACTTTGACCCCAAGGAATCACGGACAAGGCCTACTTGATCTTAATAGTTTACTCCATTTCTTGATATTATTGGGAAGAACAAGTTTTTATTTCTGTTACTGTTATAATTATTACTCAGGTTGTTACCATTACTTTTATTATAGCATTGCTAGCAGTTATCATAGTAATAAAGATTAAAACCGGGCTTTGCAAAGATTCAAGGAATGGGATATCTAGGTAAGATCAGGTAATCCTAGTAATTGTCTCCTTGGCAAATGACTGCATTTGGAGTCTTCTGTTTATAAACAAGAATAATAAAACAAAACCAGGAGCATATATATACATGTGCTCCTAGTGTCAGTGGATTGATTTTATACAACATATGCAGTTTCATTCTTGAAATTAGAGATGTTTAGTATCAATATATGGTTTAGGTAGCTGAGGAAAAGTTGTGCAATATGATAATTACTTTTATAGTTGTCAGCTGATTGTAGGCAGTGATAAATGTCTATATTCTGGGAGATGTTTTGAGTCAAAGTAGATACAATTATGTATATGACACACATGGTGAATATTGATTTGTGATTGAGTCCACTTGGATATGGGACCAACTTTGAAATTTTGTGATCTGATTTTTTTTTTTTTTCATTTCTAACCACTCATGGTCAAAGGCAGGGTTTGTGAGATTTGTATTTTATTCTCACCATGTATTTAATGTGAAACTGGTCCAATATTAGTGTACTGTTAGAGCTTATAGTGAAAGGGGCTTTTAAAAATGTAGATATGGTATTGCTAACATTAATGGTAATAAAGTAGCATTATAGCAACGATGGACATATTCATAATGATGATGTAAGGATATTAATGATAATGACAATACTGGTAATAGTAATTGATGATGATGACAATGATAATAGTTGTAGTAATTGTAATATTGATGATGGTGTAAATACTGATAATAGCAGTACAATGGTAATAATGGTGATGATAGCAATGGCAGTAGTAATGGTGATAATAGAAACATTAATCAGTTGTTGAATATGATGATCGAATAATGATACTGATGGTGATGCTAATACAGTAATTGTAATGACAAGCAGTAACAGAAGTGAAAGGGAGTGGTAGTTTTTGCAAGTTTGTTAATTATTTTTAGAGAGAAGTATATTTTACAGTATTGCCATTTCAAGTACATGGTAAAGAACATTGGGTAAAGCATTACTGATACCAAAACACTGGTTACAATTATTACAACTATAATTTATATTACAACTACTGGTTTTGCTGTTGCCATTACTATATATATTACTATTGCTTCTAGGAATACTATAACTGTTATTACTAAAATACTTATCATTACTTTTGCTAGTTACCATTACTATTACTACTATTTCTACTTGTAATTCTGCTTTAGTACAATCTAGTTGTATATGAATGAATGCAGGTACACCTTGGAAGACAACATGCTTAGCTGGTGGCACTGATTTGCTGAGTTATTTGTTATTCATTGTTCAGATCTAGTGTGGATATCTCGGGTATTGTTTATATTTGTCGTCTTGTATTTTTAACTGCACCTCTCAAATTTTGGCATTGCAAACTATTTTTGTGAGCTCTTTACACACCTTTCAATGGGTGAATAGTTGATTTTCCTTGTATAGACTTCAAATTCATAACCATTTGAAGCAGGTAAATTTAGATTGTGCAGCAAAAAAAAAAGTTATATTAGAATTCTTGAAACATGTATTGATATGTGAATAGTTGACTTTCCATATTTAGATTCAGTTTTCACTATTAAAATGCACATCCATATCCATTTGAATCACCAGTGTTAAGATTGTACAGCAAAATATACTAATAGGTATACTAGAAAAAATATCAAAGGTAGGGGAATTCCTTAATATAATAGCTATCAATTTGTAGTGCAAAAATGCAAAAAAAAAAGAAAAGAAAGAAATTAAATTGTAAAATATTGGTACACAGTATGTTAATTAGGACCTGTAGCATGGTAACTTGATGTGTAGTGTGTATCTCTACTTGGATTTGCGAAAATTACAGATCGGAATTAGGTGGGATAGAATCATTTATTTAATTTTCCAGACATCACTTTTTAAAATATGAATTGAAAATGATCTGGTTCTCTATATTTTCCTTAATGTAAGGAAATATACAATGTGAGCAACTGTAACTACTGTCTGTAGCACCAAATCAGTGTGTGGAAAATTTTCATAGGCTTGCATAAGACTTGGGCAATAAAAGTATGAAAAGACAATTAGAAGTATATACAAATTTGTGAAATTTGACAAACCCATCTTTAGCCAGTCAGCACCATCAGCTAAGCATGTTGGTATCTACTGTATCCCTGCATATATTTAGATGCAGTTGGATGTCATAAGCTACTTTATATTTACTGTTACTTATACTGATGTGAGATTATTCCTATTATTGTCACTGCTATTGCTTTTACTTCATTTCTATTACAGTTTCAGTTACTACTACTACTGCATCTACTACTGCTGCTACTAGTACTATTTCTGTTAATGACCTTCCCTTTCCCCTTATAGTCAAATCTCTACTACCATTTATTACTAAACCCATTATGTCATATTCAGAAGTGCATTCACTGGGCTGCATTTTCATGTAACAGTCAAAGTCCATTCCAGAGAGAAAGGTAGGCTTGATGGACAGGTTCTTCTCTTGCACAGTAGAACAGATAGAAGTGAGAAGAACAAGTGTTATAAACTAAAGTATCCCCCTCCCCCCACATAAAGATTTAGCCCGAGCCCTAATCTTTCTGGCTTTGTAGAAATTAATAGTGTGAATGTACTGTAATCATCCCGGTTTTCAACTTAACTTTCTTCTGAGGTATTGGGAATGCAAAGTCCCAGAATCCTTGAACACATAGGTTGTACTATTATTGCAGCTATTACTATTACTACGACTGTTTTTTTTTCTTGTTTTTCTTGTTATGTTTATTTCTGGTTCTATTTATTTCTATTTATTATTTATTCATTTTTCTTTTCTTCTTCTTCTTCTACTATGTATAGTACTTATACTATTTCTACTACAGCTACTACTACTAATACTTCTATTAGTACAACAACAGCATTTAGCACCACCATAACTAATACTACTACTACTACTTTTTCTACTACTTTTTCTGCTAGTACTACTACTACTACTACTACTACTACTATTACTAATACTTCTATGTCTTCTATGTCTCCTATGTCTCCTATGTCTTAAACTTCTGCTACTTCTACTATTAGTACTACTACTACAAGTACTACTAGTATTACTACTTCGACTTCTGCTTCTACTTCTACCTCTACTACTGCTGCTGCTGCCATGCTTTCTGCTTCTGCTGTTATTTTTGCTATATTTATTTTCATACCTAATACTTTTCTACTACAAATTGTACTGCTATTACTACTTTTACTACTTTTACCACTTGTACTACCTTTACTGTTAGCCCTTCTTTTGATGTACTATTTATGCCACTATCACTCTTACTACTACTTTTGTTACTATTTGTAGTATTTTTACTACTTTGCTTACATCTTTGTCTTTCCCACCATATATCATTTAACCAATAACTGTCAACGCCATCATATTTTACTTATTAAGAACGTCTCTATGTGACTTGGTGATTTTAAGGCTTGATGACAGAGGCCATCTCATGTAAAACAGAATAGGTTTGAACTAGAGAACAGCCGTCAATACTGTTGATACTGCTGTGACTGCTACCACTGCTGCTTTTATGATTTTACTGTTATGACTGCTACTACTACCACTACTGCTACTGCTATGACAAATACTACAGTGACTGCGGTTATTATGAAACTACAACTTCTTAACTACAACAACAGTATTACTATACTACTAGTACTCCTATGAGCATTATGTTGCTTTTACTGTTTTTCTTGATTTTACCATTCCTTTTTTATTATTGCTTCTACTGCTTAATATTAATGGTAAGACCATTACTACTTAGAACAGTTCTTGTATTTTGAGGTCTTATACAAGTTATATAATATTTTTCTTTAATGTTATGAATTAGTCATTATTATGGTTGCATTGTTACATTTCATAATTTAAAAAGTCAGGTATTAGCTTCTTCATTTTCTTTTCCTGTTCCCCTTTTTCCCCCCTCCATGTCCTCCCTCCCTCCCTCCCCTCCCTTTCCTCACCCAATCACTCCCTTTTCTCTTCGTCTCTCTCTCCTTTCCCCTCTCTCCTCTCCTCTCCTCTCCTCTTCTCTTCTCTTCTCTTCTCTTCTCTTCTCTTCTCTTCTCTTCTCTTCTCTTCTCTCTCCTTCTCTTCTCTTCTCTCCTCTCCTCTCCTCTCCTCTCCTCTCCTCTCCTCTCCTCTCCTCTCCTCCTCTCCTCTCTCTCCTCTCCTCTCTCTCCTCTCCTCTCCTCTCTCTCTCCTCTCCTCTCCTCTCCTCTCCTCTCCTCTCCTCTCCCTCCCCTCCCTGCCCTCTCCTCCATCTCTCTCCTCCTCTCCCTCCCTCCTCTCCCTCTCCTCCTCTCCCTCTTCCTCCTCTCCCTCTCCTCCTCTCCCTCTCCTCCTCTCCCTCTCCTCCTCTCCCTCTCCTCCTCTCCCTCTCCTCTCTCCTCTCCCCCTCTCCCTCTCCCCCTCTCCCTCTCCCTCTCCCTCTCCTCTCCCTCTCCCTCTCCTCTCCTCTCCTCCCTCTCCTCTGACCTCTCCTCTCTCCTCCTCTCCTCCTCCCCCTCTCCCTCTCCCTCTTCTTCTCCATCTTTCTCCCTCCCTGCCTCGGCCCCTCACTCCCTCTCATTTCACTGTAATGAGAATCCAGTGTCTAGCATCTGGGGACAGTTGACAGGTTTGGATTATTGATGAAGGCAATTGTGGAGCGACTTAAAAAGTTGATCTCTGTCGTTGTTCTTTAAGGTGGAGAAAGTTTGCCTTGGGGTCAGAGGTTTAGGGTTTTATTGCCTTTGATATATTTTTATTTGTTTGTATTAGTTTCATTCTTTTAAAAATTAATTTATGTCCAGATGTCGGTGATGTTTTTAGCCTGTAGCCAAGAGTGTAAGCATTTCAGGGGAGAAGTGAAATAATCTCAACATTACTCTGCTGGTGGAAGTAATGGTGCATGATGTTGATAATTATATTACTGGTTACAGTATCGAAATGACAATATTACTATTGTTATGTTTTGAAATTGTTTATTCATTCAGTTAATTGGTTAATAAATTGATTTGTTTATATATTTATTAGTGTATTTATTTATTCATTCATTTATTTGATAAGTATTTATTCATTTGTTTGTTTTATTTTTTATTATGATTATTTTTTAATCCTTATTGTTATCATCATTGTCTTTGTCATTGTCATTGTCATTGTCAGTGTCATCATCATTGTCATTATCAGTCATCATCATTATTAATACTTTTATTATTACTATTCTTATTGTTATTATCATTCTTATTATTGTTATTATCATTGTTGACATTGTAAATATTTATATTATTATGATTATGATTATTATGATTATTATTATTATGATCATTATTATTATTATTATTATTGTTATTATTATAATCTTTTTATATTTTTATTATTTTCAATATTATCATCATAATTTCCAATGTCAGTTGATTAAATTGTTGTTGTTGGTATTAGTATTAGTGTCTTTACTATTTTATTTGCAATATTTTTAGCCATAGTATATTTTTCATTGTACATATGATTTTCTGGCTCTAGGGAATTTTTGTACATATTAAGGTAGTGCATGTTTATGAATATATGTTACGGGATTATGATTTACTAAAGACAGATGTGTCATTTTAAGCCAGATTTTGGTGTTGATTATTTTGCAAGTAGAATTCATTATATTATGTTGCACTTACTTGCTCTGATCCTCCAGGAAAGGTGAAGAAGTTGCCCAGTATTGGTTGGATTGTTAGAACCTAATCATTCTATTCATACCTCCATGCATATTTTCATTTTTAGCATGCACATGGAGGGGAGCATCGAAATGAGGCAAGTGTGTTTATCAGAACCGGTGCATGGTAAACCTTGTGGGTTCTCTTCTAACTATTTTTTTTAACATTTATATCCAGTCCCTTCTGGAGGTTGTGGCTTCTTCACACTTCTAATGACGGATTTGTGGGTCCTGCGGCAGTTGGTCCTTAGATACACAATAGGATTTTAGTGTTGGCCAGTGTTTCATTTCGGAAGGTCACCTGTTAGATCCAGTACTAATGTTGGCTAGAGCCCAAAGGCTTAGTATCTGCTCTTTGGTTAAAATTTTCATCCTAGTTTTGCAGTTTGGTTACGTGCTATGTAGCATATCCCGACTTGCACTCAGCTTGGAATCAAGTATGGGGAGACCCATGTCTTGGGCCATTGATGACGAGATGTCTTTGGATCAGGATGTTATTATCTCATTTCATTCTCCTGTCGTCATTGTGTTGATCCTTTGCCTGATGTATATGTGTACATTTATTGCCACAGTAAATGCTTTCATTGGGATCAGATTTACTATTAACAAGGCTGAGGCTTAACGTTGACCTTTTCATGTGTTAGTTTTCCCAATTAATGTTTTTCACACTGAAACTGCAGTGTGTCATTGATTTAGCTCTGAACTGGAGCCAAGCTAATGGTTTAACATATATGAATGGGATTTGTAGACTTGTAACTAATGAACCATTCTAATATAGTATGTAGTAGTTTGTTTTGCAGAGTAAAGTGTAGTTTTGGTATTTATTTTTATGCAGTAATGCTCATGAATAGCTCAGATGGCCTTTATACAGTTAACTGGTATTTACTTATAAGATCACAAGCACACCCAGCCCTATACCCACATGCACACCCACACATCCACATGCACACCCACACATCCACATGCACACCCACACATCCACATGCACACCCACACATCCACATCACATATGCACCCCACACATCCACACACACCCACACATCCACATGCACACACACATCCACACCCACACATCCACATGCACACACTCACACACACACATGCACACACTCCACACATCCACATGCACCCACATCCACACACACATCCACATGCACACCCACACATCCACACCCACACATCCACATGCACACCCACACATCCACATGCACACCCACACATCCACATGCACACCCACACACATCCACATGCACACCCACACATCCACATGCACACCCACACATCCACATGCACACCACACATCACACACACCACACACATCCACATCACATCCACATGCACACCCACACACATCCACACATCCACATGCACACCCACCACTACATGCCACATGCCACCCACATGCACACACACCCCAACCACACCCACACATCACCGCCTACATGGCTACATGCACACCCACCCGCCTACATGCACACCCACCCGCCTACATGCACACCACCCGCCTACATGCACACCCACCCGCCTACATGCACACCCACCCGCCTACATGCACACCCACCCGCCTACAGGCACACCCACCCCCTACAGGCACACCCACCCCTACCACACCACCACATGCACACCACCACCCACATGCACACCCACACCACCCACATGCACACCCACCCACCCACATGCACACCCACCCACCCACATGCACACCACCACACCACATGCACACCCACCCACCCACCACACCCATCCACCCACATGCACACCCACCACCCACATGCACCACCCACATCCACCCCACCGCCCACACCCACACCACCCGCCCACACCCATACCCACCCACATCCACATCCACACAAGCATATCCACATGGACACCCACTCCCACCCACATCTGCACCCACACCCACACCCACACCCAAGCTCAGGCCCATGCATACACCTATGCACACACATGCACACACATCATCCTATCTCTCGTGCACTACTCTTGCATATATTTACATACATACATACATACATACATACCCACATACATACGTACATACATACGTACATACCTACATACATACATACATCTTGTTTTACTGGATGATCTCAGGGCCTGTCTTCTGCTTCCTTGCAAGACATGGGAATAAAGGTTCTTTTTTCTCTTCTTCACTTTTTCTCTCCTCTCTGTTTTTCCTCTCTTTTCCTTGTGCCCCACTTCTCTCCATCCCTCCCTTCTCTTTCCTTTCTCTAATCTTTCTGTCTCTTTCTCTCCTTCTCCCTCACTTCTGTATTCCACACTCTCTTGATTGATATGTTTTATTTAGATATTAAGTGGATTGCTCAGTTTGATAATACCTTTGACCCAACAGCCAGTCATGCTGAGGAGACAGATGTTTATATATAAAAAAAAGTGAATGACAGTTCTTTGAATCCCACAGCCAGACTCACTGAAGAAATAGATTATTGGATACAGATATACTGAAATAGGATTGCGATTCCTTGGAAGTCTGGTCATACGTATTGACAGTGTTCTCTCACCACAGCCAAATAAACCGAAGGGAGACGGAAGAAACAAGAGTAAAAAGATTCCTCGGCAAGCAGGCAACACGAGGGAGAAGCACCGACAGCTGGCCATTGCTCATGGGGAATACATTGCACCGCAGTCGCAGTATAGGACTCCTATGAATCAAGTCAATGAGGTAGGGGATTTGTTTTTAGATTTTTGTTTGGTGTATTTTATTAAACTTGTTTATTTCCACAGTTTTTCCACAGATGAAAGAGGGGGGCAGTATATTATTTGCCAGTTTAGGTAGAAATAAGTATTTGTGTCAAGTGTGACTTTTTTGGCTGTAAGAACATTCTGTATCTTGAATCCTATTTAATTTTTTTGAATATTTATCAGGGCATCATTTAGGGCTTTCTGTTGAAAGGGCAATAATCAGAAAGTGATGCAAGGAAACATTTTCAATAGGTATTTCTGTATAACATGAAAGAGCTATACCAATCTTTTAATTATTTCCAAGCTAGAAAGGTTTTTGTGCAACAGTAAAACTGTTTACAAATGTTGACTTTGTTGAGAAAGTCTCTTTTTTGGTTGTAACGCTTACAGAAAACTCTTAAGGATAGGATGAATTGCATTTTTGTAGGCAAGACTGTCACATATATGTAATAATAACTTGGAAATCCTAAACAATATTGATAACACATTATTTAAACTGTAATTATAGGAGGGAATTATTGGCTAGTTGTATTTTTTCCTCCCCCTGAAAATGTATCTAGCAGAAAAATAATTGTGTTTATTGAGAAGAGACGACTGCTGCAGGGAAGAATGCTACGCTCCTTGATGTACTCTTTGTATCTTTGTCCAGAATGTGTATAGACTGTACATTTACTCTTGACTAAACCAATATTATCCTTTAACATCTATACTGGTCTTCTCTATGGTATATTAATACAATTCTTTCTGTCCATATTTGTCTTTCATATAACCAAATGAAATGTAAATTCAAGTGTGTTTGTGATTGTGTGTGTGGCTGTGTCCATGATTGAATGGGATTGTGCAGGGATGCATTTGTGTATGTGAGTGTCAGCAAATGGATGAATTGAGTATATAGATTTGGGATAGGTGAGTGTGGGAGAGAGTGAGGGAGAGAGTGAGGGAGAGAGTGAGGGAGAGAGTGAGGGAGAGAGTTAGGGAGAGAGAGAGGGAGAGAGGGGGAGAAGGAGAGAAGGGGGAGGGGGAAGGAGAGAGGGGGAGGGGGAGAAGGAGAAGAGGGGGGAGGGGGGGAGGGGGAGAGGGGGAGAGGGAGAGAGGGGGAGGGGAGGGGAGAGAGGGAGATAGGGAGCGAGAGATTATGATTATCATAATATTATTGAAATAATGATGAAAATATTAAGATGATGAATAGCATCTTTTCAAAAATTAAAGAAAAGGGTAAGCAGGTGAGGCAGGTGGGATAAATAGTTGACTCTGGTCACTAAGCACTTCGGGAGCCATCTAGGGGCAAACACAGTTGACAAACTAAAATTACAGGGGACATGGCATACAATTTTGCTGTATGGGCCAGTGGGTTAACCCTTCAGTGATAGGTATGTCGATAGCCATCATGATATCACGGCCTGATGTATATATGCATCCTGACTTGCCACGGGTCGGCTGGCATTACTCAACTTGGGTCTAGTCTCAAAGTCTAGACTTTACGTAATATTACATCACAAAGAATTCAGGCCCTTTCATGATAGGGTTAGATGTGTTATTAAGTATGCATTAATCTATTTGGGTGTGTGTATGAGTGTGCAAGTTTCAATGGCAAGGGAATGAAGGTGCAATTTGAGTGCATGTTAGAGTGAGAGTGTGAGTGTAAGTATGAGTGAGTATGAGTGTGAGTGTGAGTGAGTGTGAGTGAGTGTGAGTGAGTGAGTGAGTGAGTGAGTATGAGTGAGTATGAGTGAGTATGAGTGTGAGTGAGTATGAGTGTGAGTGAGTATGAGTGAGTATGAGTGTGAGTGAGTGAGTGTGAGTGAGATGAGTGAGTATGAGTGTGAGTGAGTATGAGTATGAGTGAGTATGAGTATGAGTATGAGTGTGAATGAGTATGAGTAAGGGTGTGGGTGTGGGTGTGGGTGTGGGTGTGGGTGTGGGTGTGTGCGGGTGTGTGTAAGTGTGTTTGTGTCTGCATGTGTATCCGTAATTTTGTGTGTTTATTTGTTGCTTTAGTATCTCTGAAATTATTCGATATCTGCTTGTGTGTGTCAGTGTGCATATTTGTGTGTGTATCTGTGTATATATTTAAATAACACAAACTTATATGTATAATATGTAACACTAATATACAGTATATGATGTATAGGAATAAATATCTTTGAATAATCTAGGGCAGTGTAAAAAAGTATTGAATGGAAGTGGTAAGCTATACTGAGTAAATTCAAACTCTGAAAAACGTGTACAGCCTAGTCCTTAACCAGTAGAGTGAGAGGCGCATATCAAACTGGGGGCATTGGGCTAATTATTTTTTTCTCCATCAGATGAAGTACTTACAGTGAAAAGAAATATGTTAAGATAGATTGATCTTTTGAGACAATTGTGCACCACAGGATGGGATGAAAAAGTGCAATTGCTCACTCCACGGGTTAAGATTTTAGAATTTCTTTAGAAGATTTGTGAGCTTGGATTTCTTTCGTGGAAAGTCAAATGTGTAGAATGCTGTGCTCGAGAGTCCTCACATTTTAGCAAAATTTTATGTCAAAAAAAGAATGTGGTGCTGTTTGTGGATTGAGCAGCTCCATGTTGAATGCACTTTCACTTTGCAGATCTTAATAAGGTATTCAGTGATACTTTGTCCTTGATTTCAAGTAGTGTCTCCTCTTGTGATTCTAATTAAAGTGTCTTTTTTAATCAGAATATGTATGACCAGTCATTAGGAATGAGCACAGCAGATGGACGACCACTGCGACCAAATAGTATAGAGCTTCGTGGTCATTATGTGAATGCACAAACTGGGGTATGTTTCACAATTGCAATCAGTGCACTTGTAGTCTGTAATCATATGTCATGAATCTTTTAAGTGAAAAGCAAGTTCCTGCTAGATGTGATTTGCATGTATGTCCTGTTATGGACTGTATATGGAAAAATAATCCTTTTTTATTATAAGTCTAACCAAGGTAAGATAGACAGAGGAATGTGCTAATCCAAGTTTACAGTCATGCATGTCCTGTTAAGAACTGTTTTCATGCACAAGTTCAGTTGCACCCCATGATATTTAGAAGTTGGTTATTAATGGACAACACACTGCATGGTTCACTGAAACTACCCTTCTGTGATGGGGACATTTATATTAAAAGCAGAATTATGTAAAGACTCTTGCAGCTCATTTGGATTAGATATGAAGCTTTAGGGTTCTTTGCATGATTTGATAGGGTGGATAATGATGGTTCTTATAGCTTGAATCATACTGAACTCCAAGTGAGCACCAAGAAAATAGATTGCAGTTTTGTTTACAGAAAATGTATACTTAAATACCTATATGCATGCAATTTGTTGGTAATGTGCATCTTATCTATCTACTTGGCTCTGATTACTAATGCCGAATGTTGTACAATTTGTTGTTTTCTGTATTCTTTTTCTCAAGTTTGCTTCTTGTTTTTATGATATGTGCTATCTGCATATGACACACTAAATATTTTGCATGAATTTTATTTTGTTACTTGTTCACTGGCAAATGAACTTCTCATATTGCCACCTGAGACTGCTGTAATTTTGACAAGACCAAGGGATATCCCCTTGATGCTGGATGGAAATGTCTGTATTACCATGACATGATTAAAAGGTATCTGATGCTAAGAGGTTGATTTTGAAAGTTTTGATTATATGTGTATGTGACAATTTGATTTTCTTTGCATTATAAGGTTTATCCCCTTCCCCCCAAAAAGTTTTGTTAAATTAGATTCATTATTTCTGTAAATTTCTTCATTCAAATGATAAATCTGGCCAATCAAAGAAATTCATTAATGTTTATGAACATTGTGCCTTTCCCCTGTTACCCATGTTGAGGGATCAATGTCCACAGACATGTAGACAATTGTGTGGGAATACACACGATTAGTGGATAATCCTGTTTGATATTATTGATTTTTTTTGTACTTGTATAGCTACAGGGAAAACTATCATTAAGAAGGGTGTTGAAACATTCTGTAGCAAACAGAACCTTACGTTATGGAAGGGTTGGGTTTCAAATTTGTATTGTTCTGATTCATGTCTCAATTAGTTGTTCTGGAATTAATATGGATTTACTGAGATGATTATTTTATTCCCGTAAGGGATGGAATGTGCCTTGCAATATTCAGATAACCCAAACATACCCAAAAGTAGTTGGAAAATCAGGGATACCAATAGTTTGGTAGTGTTAACAACTATATTTAGAAAAGTATCATGGCGTGTTTTAGAATGTTTAGCATGATATCCTAACAATATTTTTCTCTGTAGCTGTACATTAAATATGTTGATTTATTTTAAGCATAATTGTGCATGTAAATTTTGGATATCGGGTATTATAAAGCAATTTTGTTTAGTCTTATCATTTTAGTTTATGCGATTATTGCTTGAAACATTTTTTCACGTGAATACTGTGAGAATCATTGTGCTTATCAAAAAGAAAGAAAGTTGAAAATAGAATTAAATAACAATCATAAAAGCTAGGTGATCACAAAAACCTACTTGCACCAGTATTCACCTGAACACGTCCCATACTTACCAACAACACCACCTCTGCCTCTATCTCTGCCTATGCCTCACCTACTACTACTCCTTCCACTCCTACTCCTATGCCTAAACCACGTACTCCTCCTACTTTAACTCTTACTGCTACTGCTACTTCTACTCATATGCCTATACTTATAAGTACTATTATTCCTATTCCTCCTCCTATTTCTACCCCTACCCGTACACCTACTTATACATCTATACCTACTTAACCTTACACTTACACCTACTATATCTACACTTACACCTACACCTATACCTTTACCTTTACCTATCATTTGTATTGTACAGCTGCACACTTGCGATTCCCTTTCATACATCTATGCCTGGAATCTTAGTTGCACAGCACTGTGATTTGCACACACACTCTTATGCACAGTTTTCCAAATTGGCCACTTAAAAGTTCTCAGTTATTGTAGTGACTGCGCAAACTTACTATGATGGTTTAAAACAGATTTACCCAATAGTTTTTTAGTTCAGTCCTGTTGAAAGATGAAGTTTTGAGCTTCTTGTATGCACTTAAGGGGAAAATATAATTTTGTGGTCTGTCTGTGCAATTGTTTGATTGTAAATTGTTTTTTTACAATGGAAAATTTTGATAATTTTTATTTTTTGCAATCTGCACCTATATCTGAGAGCAACAGTTGGTATATTTCAAGACTTATCTGAGGATGCTTCCTATTAAAGCATTTCTGTATAAAAAAAAAAAGATTGTAGATCATTTACCAAGTGCATAGTTGAATAAAAAGTAAAATAATTCATGCGATAAAAAGATTTTAGTCTAGTTCAAATACCTGCCTACATGAATACCAGCAGTCACAACAATATCAACTTATGTATCTACACATCCACATCAACACACCAAAATCCACACACCAGAATCCTTACACCAATACCCACACAAATTCTTACATTCACAAATGCAAATGCGCAAATGTACACCCATGTCTGTATGCCTCCCCCTCCCCTGTCTCACACACTCCCCCCCCCTCCTTTGTTTATACGGGCATACTTACAGGCAGTATATGCATACTTTGGTTTCTATAATTCTCTTAGATTTCCCCCGCTTCATGTGTGTGTGAGCAACGTATTAGATGAGGCATTTTGCAACTTATTTCTCTCTCGAAGCAGGAGGTTGTGTACGGGACAAACTCCCACCCCCACGCCTATTCCCCGACCCAGGAGATGGCTCAGACTGTCCCAGCTTCAGATCACTCTGGATACCCACCTCCCTACCAGGATCAGTATTCAGGGTACCCACCACCTCCCTATACACCAGATGGCGCTGGATCACAGGGTTAGGATCTCTCTTCATTCAAGTTGACTTACAACTCCTGACAGACTTGTTTCTGAAAACAGCTGTCAAATATAGGTTAAAAAAAGATTTTTGCAAATGTGATTTCAGATTTTTTTGTTCTATTTCCTAGAGAACAACTGTTTTATGTTAATAATCTGATTAATTTTTCTAATGGCATAAATTTTATACCAAATCCTGCTCTTTTATGTGTTAAATTGTTTGTCTAAACTTCATATTTAAAATACCTTTTAAGTTTGTAGATGATTTTTGTAGACAAAATCGTAGAAGTGATTTACTTGCTTGAATGTGATTGTAGAGTTCAAGGAGAGGGAAATGGTCTTTTCAGGCAGTACACCTAGTCGAAGTTCATCGCAGCGACCACCTTCAAACAGGCCCCTGCAGCCACCACCTGCACCCCCAAGTGGCAACAATACGCCTACACCACCAGGAGGTTCCCATAGTGGCACCCCAACTCGCTTACGTGGGCCCTCACAAGGCAGAGAGTGTCTACCTCCTCCTCCACCTCCACCAGGGCCACAGGTATTAGGGATCACATGTTTTTTGTTCTTCCTTCCTGACATGAAAATTGCCTAATTTTCATACTACATACTTACTACATTGATTTAACTTAAAAATGCAATCATTTTCTATCTTTAGCAGCAGGTGTCTCATCCTGGTCTGTCTAGAGGGCCATCCATGTCACCAGGACCCGGGCGACACGTTCAGCCCCATGAGCATGACCTCCCACCTCCGCCACCTACTCCAGACAAGGCTGGTGATGCTGAGCCTCCACCTCCTTCTCCTCCACCTCCTCCTCCAATACCTGCTATCCAGGAAGGCGGACCTCCACCACCACCTCCACCTCCTCCACCTGTTCCAAATGGAAATGCTCCAGGAGCACCTCTTCCACCTCCAATGCCTAATGGTGTTATAAAACAAGTAAGTGATTTTAAGTCTATAAGCTCTCTGAACTCTTGACTGTTAATATGAATCATGCAAAAGAGATGGAGATAGTGATATAGAGATACAGATTATATAAAGGTATAGAAGTAGAGATGAAGATAGAAGTAAAGATGAAGATGGAAGTAGAGGTGGAGATGGAAATAGAAGTAGAGATGGAGATGGAAATACAAGTAGAGATGGAGATGGAAATACAAGTAGAGATGGAGATGGAAATACAAGTAGAGATGGAGATGAAATCCAAGTAGAGATGGAGATGGAAATACAAGTAGAGATGGAGAGATGGAGATGGAAATACAAGTAGAGATGGAGATGGAGTAGAGATGAATACAAGTAGAGATGGAGATGGAAATACAAGTAGAGATGGAGATGGAAATACAAGTAGAGATGGAGATGGAAATATAAGTAGAGATAGACATGAGAGAGAGAGGGATAGTTGAATATAGATGGATATGTGTATAGATATGTGTATACAGATGTATGGATGTATACAAATATATAGATATAAATGTACAGTATATTTACACATGTCTGTACTCTGTAGATTTTAAATTTTAGACATCTGAGGTGTATATTTGAAGTTTTTGCTGTGGCAGATATCAGTTGCATGTTGAATAATGAGAAATCTTCATACATTTTGTGTAATGCAAATGATTTTACTTTCCAGCAACCACAGACTGTCTTAGCTAAACCTAAGAAAGTGGAGAAGAAAGTGTTACCTCCAGTTGAAACGGATGGTCGAAGTGATCTACTTAAGGCAATTAGAGAAGGTTAGTATATGAGAAAAATCTTCCTAGGTTATTGAAGTCAAAATGTATATTTGATAATTTAATTATTGGTACTTAACAAATATTGCATATACTCTTCTAGAGGTATTGTTTCCTGGGATTGAAGTTGAAGTTGTGTGTAGTATCACTAAGGTTTTGATGGCCTCTTATGATAGATCTATAGTCCTTGTGCTTATGTCTTGTCCTGTTTTCATGATTACGAGGTTGGGAATTATAATTTGTAAAGTCCCTTTTTTTTAGGGAAAATTATCAAATTCTTTTACTGAATTTTTCAGCACCAAATGAGTATGTAGCTGTCTTTTGTTTTATGCTACCATAACTTTTTGTTAAGTAAAATGACTTTTGGCAAATAGTAGAATTAAATCAGCCTGATGCCGCTGGGGATGGTATGCAAGTACATGCCCTGTGCACTGTGGGTCAAGTTTATTAATTGTCTTTACACATAGATGGTTTCACAAGTCACTCAAAAGCCAATTACTAGAATTAGCTACAAAATCTGTTTATCCATTGCCTTGATTTTAAGAAATATTTTCTTTTATATCATATTGCTGTTAGTAATGTCAGTAACATTATAATGATTATAGTGTCTAAAATTATAGTTATAGCATTGACATTGATATCAGTAAAAAAAATAAATAAAGAGGAGAAAAAAGAGAAATGTGAAATCAGGTAAGATCACAAAGTCTATTAATTGACTCCTTTGTGGCTAAGCACGTATGGAACCATCTATATGTAGAGACACTTTATAAAATGGTACTACAGTGAACACTACATTTGCCCAGTGGTATTGGGTTCAAACAATAAGCAAACATTAGATTATTAAGTTTTGAGGCATCCAAAAAAGCAAATAGCAAGAGACTTGTAAACCTGAAGTGCTAAGAATAAAATGGTAGAAAAAAACAACAAAAACAAAACACATGGCACATCTTCATAGTAACAGGGCATTAGAAGGTTCAATTTCCACTGAATGTGAATGGTAAATTACTACCGTGTTGATACTATGATAGAAAAACCCACTATGTACAGTGTGGACAGCAATATTGATAAACAAAATATATTGTTAGTAGCATTATGCACATGTTAAGGATGAAGATGATCACAGTTTACATTTTAAATTTTGTAATATGGTCAACCTAAAAGCCAGAGGAGATGTTTACTAAGTTCACTGAACAGTAACCACCAACAGATATTGCTCAGATCTAGCTTACTACCTTTGTAGATCCCTCTCCTATGTCTTCCTTTCTCCTTTTGACTTCTCTTTGGTTGTTTTCTGTAATTTTACCTCATTTTCCTCCCTCTTTCTAATCATATTATCTCCTGTATACTGTGCATTATGTCTTAGGAGATCTTCTTGCTTGTTCTTTGAAATGTAAATTCAGAATATGTTATTCATGATTGCTTATTGGATTATTTTTATTCCTTTTTTTGGCTCAGTGATAATGTTTTACGTCTCATTTCAGGCATCAAGTTACGGAAGGTTGATGATGTCAAGACGAAGCCAAAGGAAGATCCGGACAGCGTGGACGTCGCCTCAATCCTCCAGAGAAGATTTGCCTTTGAGGTCAGCGACAGTGAATCATCTTCGGACAGTGAGTCGGACAGCGACGAATGGGACGAGACAAGCGCATAGTTCTGTGACAGGTCACTATCATCTCATAATCATTTATCTTACGGCTATTGCCACTTATCTGTCACAGTGGAATTGCAAATTGAAAATGTCTTTAGTCAAAAGTGAGGAAAGGCTTGTAAGTGTATTGGAGCAACAGTGAGACTCCCCTCGTGTCACGCAGCTCTGGGTCGTGAGCCCGTGAAAGCGTTGCTGAAGATGGGAATTTAGCTCAGATATGTGATGTGATGTGAGGCTTCTCCTTCTTTAAGGCCATATGCAAGTGATCTGTTCAGTACATATATAGTTATTTTCATATTTCAAATATCATTATATACTATACTTATTTAAGTCATTATTATGTACTGAACTGTTGATACTTACTGAGACATAAATACACAAAGGCTGTATTTTATGCTTTGAAGTTGAGAGGAGTTTGTCATCTGAATAGCTGGTAGCACAGACACTAAGAAACATTCAGATGGAATAATTATCACTTCTGTTGTTCTTAATAGCAGTTGAAACTACGTCAGGATATGAAATCTAACTCGCATGCATCACACCACTTTTCCCAATTGGCTAAAACTTTACATTTTTCCCCTTTTTTTTAAGAGAAACAAATTTGTTGCCTAAAGTTAGTGTAATTATGATTAGCAAATACAAAATGATAAGTTGCTGTAAACTTCCAACACTACTGGAAAATATTCAGGAAGTCACAGTATATTGTGAATGTTTTTCTTTTACTTGTTTTTGTTATCTTTCCTTTTTTAATAGAAGCTTGTAATATATTTCCATTTTATGTCAAGGCTTTATTCATGTGATACACTACCAGCCCATTTTCTGTCACTGCTATTGTGCTTTGTTGTGTAAATTTTCTGAGTTATATTAAGTTTAATTCCAAAGATGAAAACATTATTACTATATATATGTACATATATATTCATATTTTCATGGTAACTGCCACTTGTATTGGATATTTGGCCATCTACATTAAAAATAAGTTAGTTCATTGTATCCCATGTAATGAGAAAAGTAGCTGTTTTATAACTGTATGAGAATTATGAATACTCATGATTAGGGTGCTTGGAGAAAGGAACACATTGGCCAAAGCAATAATGGGGTGCATCAGCTGTCCTTTTGTTCAACAGACTTTTGTTATGGGCTGAGATTCATCAAAAGGTCTTTTAGGTTACATTTCGGTTGCTTGTCAGTGTTGGGAAGTGACGCACAATTTTATAGATAGTTTAGGGTTCTTCTATGTTTTTGATTTATGCTTATTATATTTTTTTGTTATTATTATTTATAATTTACAACAGATTTGCTGTTGTAGAACTTTTCCGATATGTACCTTTCAATACGCACATATTTATCTTCTCATTTATTGAAGTTAAAAATGAGTGATAATATAGCCATATGTATGGATTTAACTGGATAAAAAGTTTTTATGATGGTATCAAATCATAATTCTCCAAGATTATTTGAACAGATTCCTTCATTAAGCATATATGAAGTTGTAAGCTACCCACAAACAAGGTTACTCAGAACTCTCTTACCTTGATTTTATCAGAATAGGTAGATGAGACAGCCTTTACTCACAAATATATGTAATGCAAGTAATTCAGCCTCTAGATTGTCATTCTTTATGTATAAAGATGCTTTGATTTATACACGTCATTTAATATCTTACCTTTCTTGAAGTTGGGGAGTCAGTGGAATGGACATTAAATTGGGGGTGTGTGTTGTTCGGTGTATAATATCTCTGTGGATGAAATAACAAAAAGTAACAAAAAGCTTAGTTAATATTTTTGACAATTTCCTTCAAGGATGCACAATGAAATTGCATTTTTTTATTATCATTATCTTTAAAGAGGGATTTTCCATTGAATATTCTTTCACTTCTGTGCTTTGGTTAGAATTGCCAACTGCAGTTTCCTCCATTCAGCCTTCAGGATTACTTGTCTGTGCTGATAGTTCTGGTCAATATTGTGAGTGTTGATGGTAGCAAAGCTTTTGATATGAATGATGAGAGTTACCTATGTTGAAATGAAGCCACTGAGATCTTTGTATGCCTTTTATGTAGCAATACTAGTAGGCTTTTTTAGGATGGAGGATGACATTGAAATTACTAAGCAAAAAAAAAAAAAAACTGCAAAGGAAATGTTTTTTTTCCTGAATTCTTCTAAGCATAAGGTATAGTAGACTAGTCATTTTGTACTCAAGTGTAATGGCCAAAATATGGTTTGCAGAAAGTCAACTGAACTGAACTTCAGTAATCTGTGATTGTTGCAATGAAGGTTGATGTTCTGATGGGAAGTTTGTTGCTAACCATTTTTGTTTTATTGCAAAATGTATTCACTTGAGTCTCATGAACAATATTATTTGCAATATATACACCCAGTGAATTTATGCTTTGGGGCTTTTAAACCGTTGAAGAGGTTTAAACTTAACAAATATATAACATATTAGGAAGGTTATAGTGTTTTTATTTTTTATTTTTTTTTAAACAGGCACAGCTAAAAGTTTCCCTGAGTAGAAGTAATATTGAATTTGTGTTATAGATATTTAATCTCCTCTGAACTATATTTATCATTCTTTTCCTGATGAAATTTAAATGTACACTATCCATTTCTATTTCATCGTGGCATTTCAAACATCTTGAAATAGGTGAGTTATGCCATAGACAGCATGATTGATACATAGAATGGTCTGTATTTCATGAATGTATATGCAAACTTATATATTCTTAATAAGGGATTTTGTATATTGATTTCTTTGAAGATGTCTTTCAATGTTCAAATGTTAATTTTTGGTTATGGAATCTTTATTTGTTATTGGTTTGTGAAGTAGTACTGGATTCTGTGATCGTGATTATATCATTGTACTTTTTTTTTTCTTCTTTTTTCGATTATTTTTAGGTACACAAAGAGTGACTATACTTTGAGAAGTAAATAAAGATGCTGAGTGGGTAGTCTTTGTGGTGCACATCCCATGAGCTGTAGAAGTTGCATGTGTTCCTTATTGTATCTGTACATAGCTTTTGCTCAGACAGTAGATGGTACAAGTCGACACTAATCACTGTTCACAACATCTGCTGCAATGGTCACAAGGATAATTGGTGAAATCGCATCTGTATGGGATCAACACATTATGATGTAAGTCAATAGAAGTAGTGGAAATAAGCATTATATTCATATTTTCAAAGGTTGAATGTAAAAAGCTTATTTTGGGTGAAAAACGGTTATCGTGTAGGAAAGTGAGCTCTTCGACCGGAGGAAAGGTTTCGTTTGTTATTAAATTGGTCTTATTACTGGCTAAAGATTGCCAAGCTATATGGATAAAACAAATATGCACTTGTGGAATGAATATTACTTGTCAAATTTATCAAAGTCACATTTTCAGTTTTATGAACATAGATAAAAATGATTCATCACTTTGTTGTGAATATTTACTGGGTCTGCATGAATTGTAATATGAAAATGGTGATATATCTGTGTAAGTGTTGCTGGTCCATTCTTGTATTTCCCTTTTGAGGACATTTTATATATCGGAAAATAAAACTATCTGTCTAGTGAAAGCTTAGCTACTGAAATAATTTTGATCAAGGCTGATGTGAAAATGTATAATGTAATGTATAATTTTTGTCACATGTTCTTATAGAAAAAGTGTATTGGAATAAGGCCCAGGTTTTCTTTCATATCCTTATTATGGCAACCGATTCAAATCCTAAATATCTTCATTACGCATGTGGTGCTATCATAGGGTCAAACAGTTGATAAAGATGCAGGCTTATAAATTTAATTTTGTGGCTTCAAAATGTGGCACCACATTGAGCTTGTTCATGTAGGTTGTGCAACTGAGTATCAAACTTTAGGTGTCTTTCATAATTGGTCTTGTTTGAAGTTATATTTGTACATGGGTTTGAACCTAAATTTTACAGCATGAACAAGTTTCTCTTTTTTTCTGGCAGATTTAGCCCTACCAGTTTGATGTTAACCCATTCCATGCCTTACTTAATGAATTAAGTACTACTCGACACATGGTCTCACACTCCAGCTGTATGAAACAAATTTCCTGTGTACTAAAATAGATGCTCTTGTCTCTCTTTATACACAACCTGTATGGAACTAGTATTTTCAAAGCTAGGTTTCTTTCCGGCTCTCCTTTTCAGCTTTCAGTATCTTTCCATTGTATATTTCATTTATCCTCTGTTATTCATGTGAAGTAGATTACAAGTTAGGTTTGGCATCTTATGACCTTTCTTATCAAATGCTCTAGTATCCTTCCCTCCACAATGCTCCACATCATGCTTCAAGGCGCAGATGTATGTAAGAGGTTTTCTTCTTAATAAAATTGTGATGATTCTGCTACTTAATTTTCCTTGCTTTCTGGAAATTAAGATAAGGAGGAAACAGTTTCAGAACATAATAGTGTGGTCAGTGTATATGGTCTGCTGTTTGCGTCATTTTAGAAAATTGTTAAGTTATGGAGAAAACTGGAGAGATGAAGTGGCGAAAGTTTCAATAGTGAAACTATACACAAAAATCGGTTGCATTTACCACTTCCGGTGGAATAAATATATTCCTTACTGAAATGTTGTGATAGATGCCATTCATAATTTTGAGTAGGTTTTCTCATTTAGTTGGTAAATATCCCTACAAGAGCTTGAGTAATCATCGTTCTGGTTTTCTGTAACGTAGTTCAGCTAGTTCAGCCAAAATATTGGATCTATGATATACTGCATTTTAAAAAATAATTGGAAATACTAAGGCCAGTTGCATTGCAGTTGCACTGACCCAATGAAAATAGCAAACCAAAACTCCCCGTTTTAGTTCTGGTCACGTTTCGAGGTCGACAACAACCAAGAGGTGTCTTGGTGTAGTAACATGCCCGTTGGGGCCAGTGCCCAGTAGGAAGATTATCTCTACCTTGGACCTCAGTTCTCGCCTCGACAAAGTTTGCAAGGTCTCTTCTTCTGCTCCTTTCCTTTTCCTTCCTTTCTTCATCCCCTCCTGTACTCATCCTAAAATGTGAGAGCCGTGCCGGAAGACGAGAGCCTGGCTTTGTGTCAGCCCTGAACGGCCTCCGTACTCCGTTTGTTTTTCGCTCTTTATTCATTAACGTACAAACTTACAGCGCTTTGCAATCTTTAACAGGTAACATATTTTGTCTTCATCGTTAACTCCTTTTAACCGTTTGCCACACATTTGTTTTTGACCATTAATCATTCTGGGAATCCACAAATATCGCCTTATGAATCGAAAAACTTTATTCGACCCCAAGCCTCACCATATCGCATCATTTTGAGTACGCCGCTAACTTAAGATAGCGCGGCAGACAAAATCGGTAATTAGGTAAATAAACAACTACTTCCTAAGGTGTGAGAGCCGTGTTGAAAGGATGAAAGGCTGACTTTGTGCCAGTCACGAACGGCCTGGGGGAGCCCTTCGCACGGCATTCCTTTGTTCAGTTATCTAGCCCTTACCCCTCAAGTGGATCCTGAAGGGTTGACTATCTTTTCCCAACATGCTCAAGGCTAACCATGGCCAGTAATGTAGACTTTGCACCCTTATTAAGGACATTGAGGCTTGCCCCCTTATCATATAGCCCCACAGATTTAAATTCTCTCGATCTCCCGACTCCAGGCTCTTTGACCACGACTTTGAACACCGCTACTAGTGTCCCCTCTCCATTGTTTATTATCACAGTCCAGTTCAAATCGTCCACCCAAGTCGTTACTCAACCTTCAGAAAGCATTCCTCCTCTCCCACCGTCCTCTACACCATCTCCACCCCTACAACTTGCTTCATTTACTACCCTCTCCTTCCTTACTACCGCTCTGTGGCATTGATGTCGACCTCTCCGCAGTGCTACACCTCTCTCAACACTGCCCCCTCTTATTACCATACTATCTTAGTGCCATATAACCGTTGAAAATAAAGATTTTTTTCTCTTACATCACAATACTAGCATCATAGTGCTAAATGACCTTTGATATCTAGCGCATTTATTTGTTTAAAATGTTAAAATATACTATCTTACATCAACCTCTCCTTCCGCCCCTCAAATGTCTGTCCCCTCTTCTCCCCTTCATAAGAAAACCTTTGTTTCCCAGACCTCTCCAACCAACTTCCCTCAGAAACTCGCAGACATTCAAAGCTATCTATTGATGATCAAAGATAACATGCCTAATCCATTCTCCATTCCTTCTGCACTCAAAGTAACTACCGACATCCATCCATCCTTCTATTCATGTTCCTTTTACATCCCTTCCTCCCACTCCCTCCCAGTACATCCCATCCCCCCCCCCCGCTTCAGCAACATCAACCCCCTCCCTTCCTTCCCAATTACCTTTCCGATTCCCCCTGGATACACAAGTACCTCTTTGACCCCCCCCCTTCCCTGGATTCTCCCTCCTGACATTTATCCTGTAACTGATCTATTCGCCCTTAAATCCCCTTTCTCCTTTTGCTAATCCTTACCTTACCCTACAGACATCCTTGGAGAATCCTACACTTCTTCCTTCAATAACTTTGACCTATTCACCCTTGTTAATCCCTACCTTCCTGAACTACTTTACGACCTCTGACGTGTAGCACATCTAATCGTCAGCCAACCCACCTCTTTATCCTTTTTACTATTACGCCGTTATATAGTACTATATGACCTTTGACGTCTAGCACAGTTATTTTGCTTTGTAACCATTAATCATTAACTATTTCCTGCTTGTCAGTTCACGTGATTCTCGTTTCAGTGGAAATCCGAAAGTTAACCAGGGAACCAAAGTCTATATAAGTACTTATATACCTTACAGGGAATGACCGTGGTGACGGACCAGCGCAACCCTCCACGATACCGAGTAGCTTATTATACTTGTCAACTGAGGTATAATTGTAGCAATTTAGTGCATGAAACATAATCACGAACATCCGACATAAGGCATTCTACTCTACAGAAGTTGTCAATCATGACGACATCTATAATTACGGTGAACATAAGACAGCAACGGAGCACATAAGCAATGAAGAATATTAAGGAAGCCAAAAAAAAAGCAAGGCCCGTTATCGAAATATGAAGAGGTTTCATTTCTCGCTGATAAGTCTCAAAACCAATCCAATTTTCCCGTCGAACTCCCCTCGCCAGTATAAT